GTGGTATGATTGCAAATGAGACAACTCTCTACAAGAGACCAAATGACAAAGAAATTAACAACTATAGGCCACAGTGCGGCCTTGAACAATTAGCGAAGCCCATACCGCATAGTCAGCTATAAATGGCCCTAAAAAGACAAATGTAAAAATAATTAAAGACAAGTTAAATAATTTCAATAATACGAGATGTGAAATAAAGTATAATTTAAGTACGAATAGTTAATATATTTTAGCAGTTTTTGACGGTCTGTATTTTTTAATTATGATTGTTGGGATTGGTACATATTTGTTCCTTCCCTTTTCGGTACTAGGACCGGTCGAAGCACTCGTTAAACCTGTCGCATATTAAGTTATGCCAGCCCAAAAAAACTGGTTATCATGTTAACTTACTGTAAAGGTTAGGACCACCCATCACGTTCACTTGTTGTCAAAATTAGTTGATTATTTATTAGCTTATTTTTCTATCATTAAAGTTCAATGGCAAATTTTCATGCATTGTTTTGTCTTAAGAAAAAACCAAAATTTCAACATTATGCCAGTTAATATAATTCAATAATATAAATCAAATAAATGCTTTTCAACTTTTATGCGTCAGAAACACTTTACTGAATTGAAGTTCATCCGGAACGCTCAAACCCAAACATTTGAAAGCGAGGACTGTATACATACGCTGAAAGTTTAGAAGGTAAGTGATCATAAGGGACCTAAAAAAAAGCCAAATTCGTCTTAAGTATACTGTGTCTGTTGGAACTTTAGATAATGTATAAATCATGTTAGTGCCTTGGGCCGACTACTGAGAGATGATACACTCAGGGACTAACAGTCAACCAGAAGCGGTTTCGACCCAGCACTAGTAAACAACTGACAAATGTCTTGCTTACAATTGGATGGATTTTCAAGAGAACGCTCTATAATGTGAAATATATTCCAACAACGTATTCCTTGCGATATCGTGGAATAAATATGGCGGTCTGGTAGTTGTCGTCTTGTTCCTTGAATTTTTGGAATACGCACTTGTTGATGCCTTTTGGTTTAATGTTTTTACAAGTTATAAATAATTTTACAGGCAGCATTTATTGCATAATACAAAAAAATGTCCGATAATATCTTTTATGGAACAAATACTTAAGAACTTTAAATGTAATTGAATAACAAATTTGGTCTTTAACAAATATCAGTCAATTGTATTGAAATGTTCAAATCGTCACAAAAGTTTAAAGTTTAAATAAATCCGTGACATATAGTAGAGATTATTCATGTAATTCAATCATTGTTCTATTTTTATGAAGCAAATCCTCCTTTGTTTAACATTGTGTACTTGAGGTATAGGTTTAGAATTAGATTTCTGATAATATCTTTTATGGCACAAGCTACTGAAGAATATTATGTACCTGAGGTATGGGTTAGACGTTATCAATACTTGTTTTACAAAATGTTGGTTCCGCACGATAGTTCAACTAAGATTTCAAGCAATATATAAATAAGAAGATGTGGTATGATTGCCAATGAAAAAATCTTAAAAAGAGACCAAACGACACAGAAATAAACAAGTATTGATCACCGTACAGCCTTCAACAATGGGTTAAACTCATGTTTGATTTTGTTAAATTCAACTCCGAAAAAAAAATATATAGCGAACGGAAAAACCCCGAGCCAAATGTTTTGTTTAAGACCCAAAAGGATTATTGATACTCATGTTTTTGTTAAATTCCACTAGAAAAAAGAGATTTATGATTGGGACAGACATTCGGATCATTTAGGTCCCTCCCAGAATTGATTAAAGGGATCAAAAACGAGCAGAATAGGTAACTTACTTCTGAGAATCAATAATTCCTTTCGGGGATTCAACCAAACAATTGACCCGGGGTTTTTCCGCGCGAGATCGCATTATTACATATTGCGAAAAAAATAATCATTATAGGCAAACCTTTTTTGCAAAAGAATTATAACAGTTCGTCGTAGTCATTCTTGTTAATAATTTTCACTTCTCGGTCAAAAAGTCAACTTTTTAACCTTGAATTTGTCGCACGTTTCGATTTTGACAGATTATAAAAAATAAATCCACGCATCTGATAGTTAATAGCAATAAACCAAATATAAGTTTTAACATTATCTTTCAACGATGGTCAGGAAAAGAAAGTTGTTTTATAACAAGTCCAAGTTTAGAAACATCTTTGATTAAATTGTTAGCCCTTTGACTGGAAGAGAAGTATCCTATAAACTGATTGCAGCAATTAAAACTCCGGAACAAACATAAAAGGGACAGTAAGAACGTTTAATTGCATTTGTAATATAGTTTTACAGTATGGCAATGAAAAAAAATTGTATCTATGATTATCAATTATGAAGCACGGCCAAAAAAATAATATTTCAATGAATGAATGAGATTCAAATATTCAAAGCTAAGACATCCTTTCTTTTGTTTTGATATAGATAGAACAACAATCTGTCGAAGCTGTTTGCCTTTACTAAGTCAGAAAGATGACAGTTGTTTTCTATTCGTTCGTTTGGATAGATATTTGAAGGTTTGATTTTGTCAGATTAAATGGACTTCCTACTTTTTGAATTTGCTTTGAAGTTCTTTTTTATCAATACTTTTTATACATATATTTACTTACAAGGCTAGAGAAATATTATGCTTTCGACGTTAAATACAAACATTTTGATGATATCATCTTCTGTGTATTTGTTGTTGAAACAATATAGTTCTTTGCAAAGTGTAAGAAATTTGCTATTATTTTACATAGAAAATATTAAAAAAAGGATATGCTGTGGGATCGCCAATGAAACAATCATTCATCCAAGACCAAAGGAAGTTAAAAGCATTGTTTAATGAGAAGATGTATTTGATTGCAATTGGGTAAGGGAAATAGTGTAAAATAATCAATATAAGATTTTTAGAGATACAAAAATAATACAAATTAAACTGTACTAAAATGATTGCAACCAACTCGAAAAAGCGATTTACAATAAAGAGACATTAATGTTTTAACAATACCCATTTATCAGTCATCTGTTCTTTTTATAGCAATCATTAAACTAAAGAGTCACAATAATCAAATCAAATACGTTTAAAAATAATTGAGATATGACACAATTGTTATTTGTTAACTTTTAATTTTTTAACCTATAAGAGACCTGAGTAAGTGCCTATGTATTATTGCTACTGGTATTATCATTACATTTGAAGATTGCTCTTAATCAAATTATTGTTGACATTAATTCACCGTGTTTAATTTAAAAATTTTCGCCTTACTATATCATGTTTGGTGATTACAAGTGTCCTTCTGATATTAATATAACAATACCATTGTGATATATACTACTTAAAGAAGCTATACTTTCATGGAGATTTAATAACGGTCAAACTTTGAGGGTTCAATTGTTTGTGGAAATGCTCGAAATGATCTAAAATTAACAGCATTCCTGTTTTAAAGAATGTTGAATGATTAAAGACAACTAAAAAATATGAAATACAAAATATTGGTGATTTCATGTGCTTTGGAAGGCTAAGCCGATCCTGCTTCACATGTGTCACTCGTCCTTATACTTGTTTCACTTCTTAACAATTTTTTTTGGGGTCCTTAGGTGGCCTGTTGCAAGTTTAAATGTCTGAACCTATCGAATATAGCGTCATTCTCCAGTGGCAGTTCAACTTTTTCCAACCTTCATCCCGGACGGCCTCTTTCAGTGGAACTACTAATTTTTTGTTGTTGTTGTTAATTTGCTTTCGTCCTGCAAAGGCATGCCATATTTGACATTAGACGTTAAGCAAACATCAATCATTCCTTATTCATCTTTCTTATTATGCATATGTTGACTTTATGCAGTCAGGATTCTACTTCGTCAAAATTATCTTCCCATTACGCCACGTAATTTTTGTAATCGTAAAAATAGAAGCCATTGTAGTGATGACGCGCTGTCAATTTAGCTCTTGAAAACCGATAAATTTATCCGCATAGTATCATTACGATCCTTAAATGCCAGTTGTATTTTAAAAGACAAATGTATCTACTAGCTATTGAGCATCATTAAATGTACTTTTATGCATTGGGTCAACTTAAAACTATTGTCTGATCGGTTGTTAAGGGGAATTTTCGAAAGTTCAAATATATTTTAAAAAATTCTAATTAATTATTTCGTGGAAGGGCAGAGTAAAAATTTCAGAGGTTGAAGACTAATTACCCTAGATAACACACACAAATAATTAAGTTTTTTTGAAGTTCTGCATTTTTAAGATCCAACAGAAAAGTTTGCCGTCTAGTACTTTTAGCAAAACATTTGTTATTCGAACACGATAACTCTGTTGTTATGAATCATAAGAAAGGTATTTCACTTGACCCATATATTTTATCTTTTAGTATTGTAAATTTTTAATGTTTTTGTATCAACCTACAGCTTAAATATTAAAAAAAATAGAATCGGAAGCGAGATGATGTATCAAATATTTTACTTTTATACGTTTTCAAGACAGAATAGTCAACTCAAACACGCCTGAACCTAAAAAGGTGTACTCGATTTTCTCTTTTCGATGAAATTATTGCCTATGTTGGGGATTTTTTCCCAAAAAACTGTCACCGGGGGCAGAGATTCAAATTGATGCATTGGGAAGATAAATCTGTTATCTTTCTTTGGAAATTTTTTCGGCGGAATTTATGCTCATGCACGAAAAAGATCCACTAGAATTTGCACCTACCAAAATCGACCGTTTGTGAAATATTTTCTATAATATCAAAGTTTACAAATATGTCGAAGCTTAATTCAATAATTTAAATAAAAACACATACATGAGATACATAAAATACTAGAATAGGCACATTCATTAAACTTTTAAAGCCCATAGAAACAGATGTAAACAATTAAAATTTACTAACTTCGTCTTTTTTACCTTCTCTTAACTAAGGATTCCATTTCTTTCGTTTAATCTCAACTGGGTTTCCGCCTGTATAAATAAAGCATTAAACGTCTTTGTTAAAATGTTTTTTTGGTATATATTTTAGACACAACAACTCTTAATATGTCATCAACAGAAAGACAAGCGGTGCTAGGCAGTTTTGTCATAAGACTATTTCCACAAGTCATGCAAGGTATATTAAAAGAATACATTACTTCAAGAGGATTGACAGAGAAATATAAACAGAAAGACATACGTGCCGTTCTAACGGTTAGTGAAATAGCATTAATGGACAAACTTCCAAATATGGTTGATTTCACAATCGAATTATGCTATAAGATATTACGTTATGAACATTTATTGCCTGAACCGAAGTGTAAGTGGGGAAATGTTCCAAGCGATGAAGACGTTGAAATCATCGATGATATTCAACGAATATTAAATGGAACGAATGAAATTATCAGAATGAAGTCCGACGATATTTCCGAAGACTACTATGAAGAAGTTTGTACTACAACACATGACGTACTAAAGAGGGTAGATAAATTCCTTAATCTGAATACCTGTGTAGAATTGTACCACGCAATTTGCCAATCGAAATTAAATCCTACTGACATAGTTTCAAAACTGAGGGAAGTCAAGCAGGTCAATGGTAACGTATATTAACATAATACTCGTTTACTTTCAAGCAGTTCAATGGTATATATATTAACAATATACTCGTGTACTTCCACAAGAACAGATTTTGTTGTAAAAAAAGCTTCAATATTTGGATACGCTACGATAGCTAAATATTTCAGCGTAAAAGCCAAACAAAGAAAAAAATAATCCCCAGTTGCATTGGTGCAAGAAAGGGTAGAGACGAAAGGGCAGACAACAATAACAAGCATTGCGTAGAGAAACGAAAACTGAGCTACAAGAACCTAACAAAAACGGTGTTAAACTAAGAAGGGTCAGCAGCTCCTGCTCTACTTAGACTCCTGTCATGTTATTGTGTTTAAATATAGTAAAAGGTTACATCCAGTGATAGGCACCCAATAGGCGGATTGGTCAATTGAAGTCTCTTTTTTAATCCTAATAAAAATGTTACTTGTATATTCTTTAAACCCAGCGCTTAAAATGAAAAGAAGGTTTACCAGGACGAACCATAATTGACTGTTATCAGTAGAGACACCGATATAGAAGAGCTCAAAATACAATTCCAACATCTTTAAAGCAAAGCTAGGTCAGGTGTGTGTGTGGGTGATCCGGAAGTGTAAACAGTTCTATAAACCACATAGGCATTAATGTAACAGCTTCCTGGTATAAAAGTAAAATGACAAAAATACCGAACTCCAAGGGAAATTCAAAACGGGAAGTCCTTTATAAAATGGCAAAATCAAGTTCTAACGGATGGAAAACAACTGTCATATACCTGACTTGGTACAGACATTCCCTTATGTTGAAAAGAGGGGATTAAACAGTTTTTTTTAACTAGCTAAACCTCTTACGTGTATGACTTTCGCATAGAATTCCATTATATTGACAACAATGTGTGAGCAAAACAAACAGACATATTAGGAAAAAACGTCAAAAATTGGGGAACAGCAGTCAACATTGTAATTTAATTTTAATCACTATATAAACAAAAATCTGATTCAACAAAGAAACACTAACTGACATAAATCTAACCTGGGCATTTTCTGCAGTAGAATGTATCAATTTGTTATCCGTTGTACTGCTTTTAACGATATCAGGTTTTTTGTAGATATGAATATGATTACAAGAAATGTATTTTATCCAAAGAAGAAACCCAAAGTATTGACGTTATCTGCACATTCAAGAACCCTTACAATAACTCTATGAGGGATCCGTAGGTGGCCTGATGCATTGCAAAATGTCTACCCCTATGCAACTCACTACTGCTTTCCAGTGGCAGTTAAAATTTCACGCCCTTCATTCGGGTTAACCTCTAAAACAGAAAGTTTCTATTATTTAAATGTTAAATGTTCCGATTCCGAGCTTGCATAACCTTTATATATCACTAGACCTAAAGCAATCAATCCAACGAAGATTGAACATCAATTTGAATAATAACTTATCCGAATAAATCTTTTTAAGTCTGTTGAAATAATGCCTCTTAAATAGTATTATATAAATTAGAATTATACTATCTTCCTTTGTAGATTCCCCTTTCCAATCTAGCAAAACCAATAAATTGAAAACAAAGCACAATCAGTGTACCTCTGGAAATTAAATATATATATGTCAACTGTGTATGCTCTAATAATGAGAAACTATCTATATGTGGGTAACAGAGTAAAAATAAGTCTAAGTAGATTATGGGAAAGCAATATGGTTACCTTTGTCTGCTTCCAAATGGCGTGACAATTATCGTGCATGAAAGTGGGGCGTCCGTTTGGTTGTGCAGAATGAGCAAGTACGCTTCATCTTCCGGTCAGAATAGGATGTTGAAAGCGATGCCTCCTGGAAAGAAAGTGCCACGCTCTCCTGACGTTATGAAGCCTTGTAACGATTACATGAGTGTCCTAAGGTAGCGTGTTGCAAGGCTTAATATCTATCCTTGGCCGATATATCCTCATTTACCAGTGACAGTTCAAATGTCCAGACTGTCATCCTGGACAGATCTACCTATTATACTTATTGTTAATATATTCTCGTCCTAAATGCATGAAATGTTTGCCACTGGACGTTAAGCAACCAGAGATCAATCAATCTACAGCATCATATAAAGTGTATTTTAAATCAAAAGACAATCTTTAGAGCACTTAGAAAAAAGTATACCTGCTTAACATAGACATACCTTTCAAATCAGCCAAAGGAACTTATTTTGAATTAATCTGACACACAGCAATAATTGTCCTTTTCGAGATTTGAGTAATTCAGCTTAACACGTGACGCTCTTGATAAAAAATACGATTTTTCGATTCCCGTTGTTAATTGTGCCTTTTTAGATGTGGATGTTTCTTTGGTCTCTTCTTACGGTGTGCATATATCACAGCCTGTTATTTATGCCTGTGTCTGTAGTCGTGGTTTAGATTTCAATGAACGTAATACATGTATTAATACGCCCTTATTTTGCATACTGTAAATCTTGCAAGAATAAAATGGAATATTTCAAAGGACTTTAATCATGTGTTCTCCAATTCCAACAATTACGTAACGTTTCCACTAGATCAATCAAGTAAACGTTTCAGTACAATATGTGAAAAACTTATTTTCGTTAATCCAGTAACACTGGAGTTTGTGTGCCATTTGTGAAACATGCTGAAATGTAACAGTAAATAGTTAAATCCCGAAATTTGATTGCTGTTTTGAAATATTTTACAGGAATTTGTATAATAAGATAAAAAAAATGTGGTATTTCAATCACAGTTATCGTAAACAGGTGACTTTTCTTAATTTTAAAATGAATATATGTTATTATTGCAAATGAAATTATCTACGAAAATGTGCTTAACTGTCGACTATGCCTCATTTCAATATACACAAATTAATAAAATAAGTAAGAGACACTTTAAACAGAGACGCATGTGAATTCATTTTAGTACTTGAAAAGATATTCATACTTTAATATAAATAACACATTTACTTCTTTTTCTTAAAGTAGTATGCTTTATTTGTATTAAATATTACTATTGTTACAAAAAAATAATTTCATAATACTTTTATCAGTTATTTTATATCCGAGTATTAAGTTTTCTAAGCTTATGATGTGATATCCCATTTTGAGTTTATAAAGAATTAATCTAATACTTTCCGAAAAAGTTTTAAAATATTTGCAGGTGATAAAGAATGTTCATAATTCTCTTCAACATTGCATATATTACATAAAGGAGTATCTACTATTTTCCACGTTTCTAATATTTGTTTACAGGGCAGTATCCAATGTAATAATTTACACCTTAATATTTTCAATTTATTATATTTTAAGTATCTAAATATAAACAGTATATTGTGTTTTATTTTCAAGTTAATATCTTCAACTTGCAAAATATTTCTCCACTTTACAAAATCTATTGGTGTTTCTATGTCAGATTGTTTGAGTATATTATATATATATATATCTTTTGTTGTTACGTTTTGTAACTCATACGTTTTATAATTCTTTCATACTATTTCCATTTTTTTGTAAAAATAAACTTTTGTTCGCTTTGATTTTTCTTCTATAATTAAATTTAACCATTGATTTGGTAATGGTTTTTTTTTACATTTTGTATATTATGAGAACCAATTACAATGAGATGATCGTTTGTTTGATATCAAATTTTGAGAAAGATTTCCATTATCATCCAGGATATTATTAATATATAGTATATTATTTTTTTAATCCATTGATTATAGATTAGACATTTACCATTTAATTTTATGTATTTATTTCTCCATATTATTACTTTCCTTATTTTAATAAAATTATTTAGAAATTTTTCTGTTTTACTATTTTCAATTTCACACCAGATTTAATCAATCTAAGTTAAAGAGTGTTGCATTATTTTTTAAATTATCTATATATTGTGTTTTATCTTTGTTCATATAGAAAATTAAGTATTTTCCCCTAGTTTATCAAAGTAGAACTGAGGAATAACTTTCCAGTTCGGTAACATATCATCATTGTTAACTAATCTGTTAAGCCAATTTATTTTTAATGATTCAATATATTTATTTATATCAAACATGTGGAATCCTCCGTTAGCATAATTTGCACAAACAACAGATATTTTAACCTTTTCTCTTTTATTGTCCAAGATTAAGTTAAATATTATTATGTTTTTTAAATTTTGATATATAGTCTTTAATAATATTGAATACTGATGCTAAGAAGGTTCAGTTTGGAGCTATTAAAGAATTTACAACAGTTATTCTGCATAAGATAGTAATATCTTTAAAACCAATCATTGATAGTTTTCTCTGATTTAGTAAGCTGTTTTTCTAAGTTTAGTTTTTCACATTCAATCTTGTTATGTCCAAAGTATACTCCTAAGCATGTTATTGGCTTTGTTGACCATTTTATCTCTACTACTTTTCAGATTTCCTAGCCAAATACCTTCTGTTTTATCTCTATTCAGTTCTTCCAATATACCCTCATTTTCCCGTGGCAGTCCAAATTTCCCCGACCTTCATCCCGGACGGCCTCTATTACAGTACCTACCTATTGTATTTATTGTTAACTTGTTCTCGTCCTGAACATGCATGAAATATTTGCCACTGGACGTTAAGCAACCAACAATCAATCAATCTCTATTCAGTTTAATACCAGACAAAGAACCAAATATCTCAATTATATTAAGGGCTAATTTAATTTCAAATGAAAATAATTCAGCTTTTAAAGACTGTTTGCGACTACTAATCAATGTCAATTTTAGAACGCACAAAATAGAAATAGTTGCTAACTTACAAACTGTAGCTATTTTGTAAACATAAGACTTGTTACAGACAAAACTATTTCACGAGTTTATTCTATTACAGAAATTAAATTATAGTTAAATTAAAATATTAAAGCAGAAGTTTATTTTTTTCTTATTTGGCTAGTACAAATTTTTACATTTTGAAATGGCAAAAGGAGTTACACATGCAGCAATTGGTTTCTTCAGAGTGTCCATTGTTTTAATTGCTAATAGACCTAAGTGAGCCTTTAGAGCTCGTTTTTATCTCAGTTATTGCTATAATTTACCTTTCTAATGCATGGACTTTGGTATTGCTTTATTTGGGGTTTGTTTCTGCAACTCTTCCTTAAACCCAGAAGGCATTTTTTGTAATTTTGGGTTCAAAATCTTAACCTTATAATGCAATTGTGCATGTCCTATTTTGTTTTCTAATCATAATATTTTTTGGTAGTTCCCTTACCATAACATGGACATGTTATTGCATTATTTTTAGAGAGTGCATATTTTTGTTTCTGCAAATCCTTTTTAGCCGTTTTTGTTAATAATCGATATTATTTTTGTTGCTTTCTTCAGAAATTATGCGAACATAATGTATAAATTGATATCCCTTTCTATTGCATAACCCCAAATCAAATTTATGAAAATTTTAAAAAATTCTGCACCTGCTTTTTTTTTTTATCTCAATTATTGAATGTGTTTACCTTTGATAATTATTTAGTCATGTATGCTAGCAAAACCTCTATTTTTGTTCAGCAATTTATGAACGTTAAACGGCATTTGTTTGTTTTAAAGTGTACCTATTGCACAAATACTTGTGCAACGAGTCTTGATAACTGAACTTTGTACTTCATTTTACTGCTACTGTGTTAATACATTAGCAGATACTATCTATAGGTATCACCCACCATGGAGCAATTGCTATGGTATATATTAACTCAAATCGGTTATTTATAAATTGAACAAGATTGCTACACAGCACCGAAATGTCTCCCTTGTTGAATACATTAGGAATGAAGAAAAATAGTGTAATAACTCCTATAAAAATTGTCAAATCAAACTATGAAAATTGTTTGTTAAACGGTCTATGAGTATTTATGTATTTCGAACGGACAGACAGCGTTACCATTTTCCAAGGTTTTTTATTTTTTTTTTTGTGGCCGGGGGGGGGGGGGGGATATTAAGTTGAAAGTAAAACTGAAAACAAAATTTACCTTTAGTATATCTCTATAACCTTTTCATTTACTTGCAGTGACACACAATGTTCATGAAGTTGATGAAAATAAGGAACGTTATTCAAGAATTTCACTGGTTGTCATTGAAAGTTTTCCAAATATGCTCAGAAATGTAATCCGATCAATTAAAACAGCAAGGGAAATGTACAATTTGTGCACACCTTTTCTTAGATACTTTACGTCTGATCAGCAAACTAAACTACAAGAGTTACAATCATCAAATTCTTATGATTCGTTGGATATTTCCATGATATACAGATTGCTTAAACAATTTTCGCTGATAAGTCGTCCAACAAAGAACTGGGGAGATGTTCCAGACGAAAATGATATAACATTAGCAGATGACGTAGAACGTATACGCTATTTTAGAAACAAAATAGCCCATATGTGCAGCACAAATATCGAGAAGGTTGAATTCGATAATTACTTCAACCAGTTTCTTGATATTGGTCGTAGAATGGATAAAATAACAATAAGGAGATTTGGTGAAAACTTCCAAAATACAAACTTTGAAAGTGAGATTATTGGACATAAGACGTGCAATATGGATATCCAAATGCAGATCAAATACAAGAACGCATTGAAGGAGCTTGAGAACATAAAATGTGAGACATATATCTAATTTTTTTTTTAAATCCTGTTGTATAAATGTGTTTCCTTAATTATTATAGAAAGTAAATTAACAAAACACCGAACTCCAAGGAAAATTCTAAACGGAAAGTCCCTAAGCAAATGCCAAAATCAAAAGCTCAAACACATCAAACGAATGGCGAGTTAGTGATTTTTTATGCTTATGGTCTAGTTTGAGCCATGTACTCATGAATTAAAACAATAAAAAAGACTCTAAGTCCTTACTTCCATTGACATATCAGATACTGCTATGCTATGAGAAGATTATAGCTGTCTATATTTTGACTGATTTATTCATATCTCAGTAATTGCAGCTTTTTTCCAGTCTTAAGAGAAGGATAAAAATAAACAATTAGATCATCACTTTACAAGGTAGATGTCGATTAAACTCCGTTTTCTCTTTTCGTGGCGTATTACAAGAAAGACATTTCTTTAAAAAAATATAAGATACAAGCTGTTCAACTCTGATAGTAAGTGAAATCTGTTGAAAGATCTTTTTTTTTTATAAATATGCTCAGAGGTATAATCCGATCAATTATTACGTTAATTAATATGTACAATATGTGTCTGAATCACTTCTCGTCTGATCATCAAACTGAAATACAACAGTTACAATCGTCAAATACTTATGATGCATTGGATATATCAATGATATACACATTGTTAAAACATTGAATAAGGGTTTTTTTCTTCTAATATTTGGGATGGAGCATCGTTAAAGAATGATTTATAGTCGAAATGCGCAGATGATGCAGTAAATTTGTATCTTTATTGTTTTTACGGACCATTTAGACCCATTCACCGTCATCGAAAGAAATATTTAAATTTTCTGTTTGTCTGCTGATAAAAATCTATTTTATTTCAGTGTATTTTAGAGTCTTTTTTTGTCCACTCCTTTTTAAATGTTTTCGCAACATTTATCTAAACGTGACGAAAAGCATGCTTAGTTATATGCAAGGGCAACGTTATACATTGTTACTGCTGATAAAAATGCTAATAGGCTTATCAATATTTAAATAAAGTCAATATTGTTCATTAGTCTAATTTTTTTTTGTTCATTTTGAACTTCGTGGTGTTTTGTAATTTGTTTATGTTTCAATACCTTATATTGTAGAAGATTTTTGTTTAAAATAAAGCCGCGTTCCAAATATTATATTATTTATTATTATATTCTTCTAGAGGATAATAAGTTACAAAGGTAACTTAAGGTTAAATGAAAACTACAATTTATAAATTTCCTGCTTCCGATGCGCTTTTCCGAATTTAACTTCCTCAGGTATGCTCAAAGCCGAATATCAGGTATTTTGTTATAGATTCCAATTTTTCAACGATATGATATGATATGGAATATCGAGTTATAACGAAGTTGCTGAAGATAAACATATTCAATTGTTAATCGACTGTTGTTTTGAAAATCATATCGACAAACTCTAAATTATTTCTATTGTTATAATGTGCTTCGAATTATTTTAAGTAATGTTTTCCATTTTACAGTGAGATTCGAAAAAAAGCCAATAAAATTTTTCTGGGGAGAAAGCTTTCAAAGAAGTTTGATGAATCTAAGATCACTTTTACAGGAAGAAAAGTTAGAAGGTAATTTTCCGAAATGTTTTGTATATTTTTAGTCCTGCTTGAAAAAGAAAAGGGAAAAGTATTAAGGTTGTGACCTATCTATTTTTCGTATCCAATCGAACGAAATATGATATTAAAAAAATGATACTCAAAACTGTTGGCATATCCTGCAATGTGTTACAAAAATTGCATCATTACAATTGGCTATTTGTTAGGTCAACGACGCCTTTCAAAAAACAAATTTCTCTTGATAACTGGGATTTGTAAGTTCTCCAATAAAATTCGAAACACTCACATGCTCTGAACATACTTTTTTGTCGAATTTGTTTCCTCTTTCAGGCGTACAAAAAGCTTGTGAACGTATGGTGTTAACAGTAGTATGTGTCCCTGATGCAATATTAACAATACTGTAAGGAGACCGAATCAAAGTGAAACTTCTGACATCGAAAATATTTCATGTAAACACAGATTATTGTTATCATAAAGGAAAATAGGTCTAAAAGCTCGTAAAAAATTCACATCGCTTGTTTTATTTTAATCAATATGATATTAATTATTATACTGCATTAAAATTTCTCGATTTGATAACAATCAGTATCCAATTGTCGCTCGTAATGGAACCTTTGATTATACGATAACACAAAAGAGAGAACGATGTGCAGACATGCAATTAAGATTTACGTTTCCATTTCTAATATATCCTAGTGCATTTTTGCCGTTTGCTTTCAATTATACATATTGTTTCTTTTAAACCGTTAACATCAATTATATCAGCAATCAAAGCCGGACTTTAGAGTTATTTTGAAACTACTTACTCTAGGGGCGGTGTGAATCGGATCTCGTTTAATCTAAATGTCTCTCCTCTTGCAAGTTTTAAAAGAGTTGACTTTTTTACCCTTTGCAAAGAAATTCTTCATTCAAAACGTTATTGTTTTTTATGTACATGTATGCCTAAACCACATATCTTGTTTTAGGGAACGATAAATTATACTTTAGTAAAAAAAAAACCCTCTTGATTCAAATAGAAAGTTCTTTGAAACTGACACTACTAAGATGTTTACAATCTTCATTTACAACAAATTTGTTACGTTTGTAGGATTTGTTTCAATAAACATTAGGTATTCCGATGGAAACTGTGCTCCTCTTCTTGCTGACTTGTTCCTATATTCATATGTGACTGAACTCATGCATGAGCTTCTTAAGATAACACGATGCTAGCTAGCATTATTGTTTAACTTCACATTCCGCTATAAATATAACAACCTCTCACTTAAGTTATTTAACAATTTGCTGAAGTATGATACGATAGTCCAGAGCTTGAATGTCGTATTATGAATTTCCGAAATGTTTACAGACCACATGACGAGTCAGTTGACTATTATGAAATGTCTGGCTTCACGGATGCCGACGGATATCATTAATTCTCGTAACCATAATTCCGTTCCTTTTTCCTCGAATGTGACATCACCGAATCAGAAAATCAATAATCTTGTATCCTCACGATCAAACGATTTTCTTTAATGCAACACATATGTTCGATAATACATAGGAAAGACCTTTTTTCAACACTCGAATGTACCCTACAAAAAGATGTTTTCATCTTTAAATTATGGTTCGTTCTAACATATTTATAACAGTATTCATAACACAAATATATCCTAACTAGAAGATTATAATGATATTCAAAATATTCACATCGTCTAAAATGTACAAATTGAAACAAATTTTCCATAATTACTCTACATTTGATAAAAACATATTTCACTTTTTGCAAGTACTTTAAACAGTACGTCTATCGGTTAATACGGCCAATTTTGGAAGAGACCTACGTTTAATTGTTTGTTTAGTTTTTTAAATTATTTTGTTGCAGGAAGAAAGAAAATCCGTATACAGATAATCTTTGAGAACCAATCTGATGGGGAGAAAAATAAAAATATACTTAATGCCCTTAAAGACGAGGTAAATGAAGGTTTAAGTGGAATAGAATTCATATCGGCAACAAAAGGGAGTTTAATTCTGAATGTAGATGTATTGCTGGAAATGATGGCAACAGATGAATTTTTGCAATCTACTATTTCTTCATTTGTTGAAAAGATTTCGGAACTTATTACACTCTCAACCACTGAAAGTATCGATATTACTTTGTCACACACTGAAGGTATATTTATTTCCAAAATTGATATGTTTAATGATTTATTCTTATATAACGTCCAGTTTCAAGTACATGTATTATGGAGGCGAGATAGAGTTTACAGTCATACAGCTTAGGTACTGAAAAGTCGAAAGACCGAAGAGAAAAACGATAGGGTTAGGGGAATTCGGACTGCCACTTGAAAATGGGTGTGTTTAATATGGGCGCCATTTTTGCCTTACCAAATATAACATACGGACCCATCAAACGGTTGTTTGGAGGGTTTCTTACGAGCTTAACGCGTTGTAATCACACCACACGAGGCGACGGAATTAACCTCTTCATTCTGACAAAACAAGATTGTGAATATACATGAATGAATGTAAGTGTATACCCCTGTCAAACAATTAATATTTGATTAACCCTTCTCCAGCTTAGTTTTTTTTCTCACAATAACGGATTTGATGAGTAATTGACATTAGGATAATGGCAATATATGCAGATAAAAAATGGGAAGTGTGTAGAGGCTATTTTCAGTGAAAGGTCTTGAAGGATGAACAATCACCATATAAAGGCAATTTCAAACAGAAAAGTATCATCTTTGTGAAGAATGCATACATGAATAGTATAAAGGATACCACAAATTTTCCAGTACCACCTTTTAAAAAATATATAAAATGTGTAAGCATGACATGGTTATCATGTCCAGACACAAAATTTTGAAAACGCGTATTTAGGAACTATTTCCAAAATGACAATCCTCCGTATTTCTAATTGATCAATATACTATAACCTTTAAAAAACTGTTTTACTTATTTAATTTTCCAATTATTGATGTATTCCAGAGTTTCCAACATGGACTACAACAATAGAGAGTGCATACCCAATTTACCTAGACTTTGATATTGAGGCTAACTTACTTAAAACCGATGATCAATTGAAAGAACAGTTAAGCAAAATATCTGAAAACATTTCGAAACATGGCAATGGAAGAACAACACACTCCGATATTTCTGCAACAGTCCTTCCTATAAATCTTGGTAACTAGTTTGTTGTTATTGGTTTAATATTTCCAAATATATAGTATTCGTGTGAGTACCAGGTGAAAAAGAAAAGGGTAGTTCTTAGAACCCATATTGGTCCTATTTTGACATAATAAAGGCAAAAAGTCATTATCATCATATAAAATATTATTAAATAAGAAAACCTCATTTTGTGTGTCGCTTCTCTTCCTTCCACAATAAATTAATCATCATGCCTCTGTGTCCTATAAGTACCGTGCATAGTCGCATTTGTCATCCTAGCTTATGATTATTCAGTTTGGGTTATTTTGGGAGGAAAACGAAAATAAAGTTGTCCGGACATTGTTTCCGTCATCGGACAGACTTTTAAGTCATAGACAAGACTTCAGTTTAGGACTGTTGTTTAAGTACTTTGGAACAGGACAATTATTTTCGCGTATTTCTGTATACTATGATCATACATATACTATAAATAAAGTGTATTTGCTATATTTACTATCAATTCCAAGTTTACTATCCTCGGCGGTCACTGATATATAATATAGAGACTAATTCTAAGTTTACTATCCACGGCGGTCGGTGATGAATTATATAGAGAGTCTCTATCAGTGACCGCCGTGGATAGTAAACTTGGAATTTATAGTAAATAGCAAATGCACTTTATTCATAGTATACGTATGTTCATATATACAGAAAAACAGAAAACAAAAAATAACGGATTTGGAAAATAGAGAAGGGATCAGTAAAAAAAAATGTCCTGTCACCAAGTACCTTTCCTGAAATTCTCCAGTCATAAAATGGTTTACAAAAATTCGCCCTACAACAGTTTTCATACTTTCAACCACGCTCTAAATGTCCGAGATTTCGCGGGTGTGTTCAAGTATAAAATAAGATTGAACGGTGTACATGATTGACTGCGATACTCCGGATATTATTCACTGCGGACAATGATGATCATAAAAAAAGGTGTTCGAAACACATTGATTACCAATGTGAAGCCACGTTGCATCATCATCATATATAATACAAGTATAGCATCACTTCCCAGTGGCAGACGATAACCCGTTATGTAACAAGTTCGACCAATATGACCAAACCTACCTATTGTATTTAATTTCATATTGTTTTCTACCAGAATTTTATGCATGAAACAGTTGCCACTAGACGTTACACAACCAACAATGAATCGGATATCCAATTTAACCTAAGATTAAGGATACTACAACCACTAGAAGGTGTTAGTATCCGTAATCAACGATATTTCACACGATATTTTCTTTGACAATGAATTGACACAAATGCACTACAAATGTAATGATTTCAAATAGTTAACTTCTCATTTTTCAACAGAACCATACCATCGGACTCGTCATATGGCGTTTACATAGGTCAATTATGCATTAAGCTAGTGCATATCCATTATATACAGACTTTATTTACAGGCGTGTGGTCCTAACAAAAAAAAAAACAGAACCAAATAAAGTTGCGGAAGAACGATTGAAACGGACACAAAAAAAGTTTTACGGTCACCATCACAAATTGGTTGACCGATACCTTACTTAATAACTATATAATATTGTAAGACATACTTAAATACAGGTTTTGTTTCAGTTTGCGATGATTGGTTGATTATGTCTTGCTTACAAACCTCTGAAAATAACTCAATTCATATTCAGGACGAGAAAAACGTTATATGGGGACGAAGTCCCCTATTCGGGTAGAAAAATCAATGAAAAAAAAAATAAAATCCAATCTACTAATGAACTCAAAATCGTTAATTTTTTTATTCATCTTTTTTTTTTTCCCGCATCTGCACAGAAATCTTTCCAGGTATCGTGAATCTCTCGGGATTTGAGTAAAATGTTATGAAGACGTACCTTATAACAAAAAGCAAATCAATAAAACTCCTAAAATTAAATATAAAAAATCACTATACTAATAAAATCAGAATCTTAAACGTTTTTGCTAACTTTTCCCAATAGTTGTCCCTAGCGGACGATGTAAGTCATACGATTTCCTGCAAATTCATATATATGGTTACCAAAAAGAATATGGACGACAACACAATACTAGCAATAAAATGTGTATCCTTTTGATTTATTGTTTACATTGAATGTGACGTCACAACTTAATTCAGTCTTAACAATAGGACCAACATCGGAAACGTTGCAGTATTTCTGATTCTTTTTCAACATATTCTGTTCAGTTACCTAAATTATTCCTTGGGTTCTCTTGGGAAACCCACCGCATATCAATAAGACAGACTATTGTATCTGTACAAAATATGTTTTGTTATCCGCTGACATACGGGCTTTTTTTTTAAACTAGTTATCTCACGTTCTTGTGTACAATCTTCAGAGCTTAAAATCGGCTTCTTATTTCATTTAATGTGTTTTTAAAACTTAGATACAAAGTTTACTAATAGATGAGCGTCTGGGTTGGGTTTTAAAGAATCGAGAAAAACGGACAAAATATGCTGAATAAATGACAAAAAAAAAAGAACAAAGAAAAATATGGAAAAATAGTAAAAAAAAAAAAAAAAATACAGTAATGGGGTTCTCAAAGATACAAAGAAAATGGGGCATTCAAATACAAAAAAAAATGGGGCACTCAAATTTAAAGAATGGAAAATAATAGGGACTCAAATATAAAGAATAGACCCTTTTATTAAAAAAAAAAATACGAAATAACTCACAGAACAACTTTCAATGAAAATAAGAAATAAGCATTGTATGACATACAAAAATTTAAATGAGGAAAATAAACAAAAAAATACATTTCATTGTTTTAATCATACCTCTAAATAAAAAATTCAAAAAACGAAATCACACGCACAGAACAAGATTTCTTTATTAGGGAGCTACCATTTCATTTTTAGGGGGAAGAGGGGGGGGGGGGGGGGGTGTTTACTAAGATGAAATGTGAAAAAAAAGGCTGGACAGGAGTTTTTGATTAAAAAAAAGGCAGGATAAGCAACTTGGCAAAAAAAAAGGCAGGATGACAATTTATGTAAAAAAAAGTCAGGATAAACTAATAAACAAAGGCAGTAGGTACGAATAGAGTGGAAAATAAAAATGCAGGACAGAGATTACAACGAAAAAAAATGCAGGACAAAATTTTTTTATCCTAGATTTAATAGTAAGAAGTGAGAAATTTGTGTTGTACCGTGATGCACAGAATATGGTGAAGAAACAATGAAAAATGTTCATGTCTAGCAACTTTTACCTTGTCACATAAATTTAAACGAATGGTTTAATGTAATCACCTGCTACATTCACTGCAGCCACTTGCAAACCTATTTCTCAATTGGCATACATCCGTAGGAGATATGATGTACATGTGTATATTGAATTATACAACCTTCGGTCAGAGCTTAAAGTCTGAAGCAAAAAAAAAAGACACTTTCTTGACCACTATTAGAGTGTTTCTTCTCTATGTAGAAGCAGAAACTATAACAATTATGCCCATTTCTATACTTTTGTACAGTGGGACGTTTTTCAGAGTTTAAAAAAATAAGGAGGTGTGGTGTAATTGCAAATGAGACAACCATCCATCAAAGTTCAAATAAAGTTGATGTAAACAATTTTAGGCAACCGTACGACCTTTTAAAAAGGGAAAAACTCATACCGTATCGTCGACTTTTTTTTTTGTTTTTTTTTTTTTGGCAGTCGTCAGTTAATTTTACTTGTTTTCTGTACGTTTTAAGAAGATAACTGTTATAAGCTATTCGGTCGTGACATTGAATAGTTGCCTTTCGGGGACTTGGCAGAAATTAACAAAGTGTATGAAAATGAACTCTTCGTGACTTTTCTAGAGGTTAACATATTTAATTGGTACATAACTTCACTTTCTCTTCCACTTGCATTTTATCAAACCTACAAGTAAATGTACCTTCTTGTCAAGTGATTTCAAGAAAACTATACTTTAATTTTATTTTGTGCTATATATTGATAAGTTAGGTAAGCCCTTTTCAACTGACTTTTAAAGGTTTTTTTTCATACAATATTGTGCATGTTCCTTTCCCAAATCAGGAGCCCGTCAATTGTTGTTTGTTGCTGTATATCATATTTGTTTTTCTTTAATTGATTTGTAAATAAATCAGGCCTAAAAATACTTTTTCTCGTTTGAATTGTTCTTACATATATGTTCTATTCATTGAAGACCAAAAAGACTTACTGCCGGAGCAGAATGTGTCACATGCAGACTATAAAAAGCAGGGAACTGTTTAAGTGTTAACTAGTTGCAGCCCGCAATAGTGTTGTTTTCTATTATATTGGTGTGTCTGATATGTCCGGCATCCAGATTTAATAGTACCGCATATCACCTTCCTCAGGAATAGATAACCTTAGCTGTATTTGGCAAAACTTTTAAGAAATTTCGGTCCTCAATGCTCTTCAACTTCGTACTTTATTTGGCCTTTTTAACTTTTGGGAATTGAGTGTCACTGATGAGTCTTTTGTAGATGAAACGCGCGTCTGGCGTAAATACAAAATTTAAATCCTGGTATCTATGATGAGTTTATTTACCTCCACATTACATAGAACTTGAGACTACTATGTCAGTGGTTATGGAAATCTCAGATGTAACCATGCAGTTTGAGAATTTCCCCTTCAGGTTAACTATGCAAGTGCAAGTGTTTGTTCAAATATCTCATAACTGTTGTACATAACTTCAACTGATGCAAAGTAATCTGCGTAGGAATTAGATACAAAATGTACATGTCGTAAAACAGGTGTCATTCTTTATAACTCAGTAATATGATATGCAAGCGGGGACATTATCTGTGTCTCATTGACACATTCCCCATTTATTTTTTTTTACAATTTCTGTATTTAGTCAATCTATTGTTGTCCATTCGTTTGATGTGTTTGTGCTTTTGTTTTTGCCATTTGATTAGGGACTTTCCGTTTTGAATTTTTCTGGGAGTATTATTGTGATTTAACTTTTTTTGGTCAAAATATAACACCTCTATAATTGAAAATGTAATATATCTTTTTACAAGTAATGTAAATCAGGGACGTATAACTAACATCTAATATACTTCCTTGTGTAAGTGCATCATATACTTTTTTGATTCTTTTGTAATTTTGTAAATGTCTTTCTTTTACCGAGACTTCCAAAGTGATTTGAAAATATTAACAAATGTATAATGTCAAATATAGTTTACTTCTGCATAAATAAACATGATAAAAGGCATATATTTTGATTTTAACACTTTATAATTAATAGAATTTAAATTTCATCAAAATCGTAAGATTATCCATCAATTTAACAGGCTAAATCCTTGCCGAGACGTATAATATTTCTAATATTATGTATTCTATATTTCTGTTTTTATGTATGAATCATATTTTTATTCAAATTAAGTTACTTTACCAATAGTTGAACTTATTATGACGTCTTGAAAGGCTTTTTGTTGTTGCTTTGACGCCTTTCCGAGCGCCTTCCTACGAGGCAAAAAGGCGTCAAAGCAAAAGGTAGAAAAACCTTTCAAGACGTCATAATTATTTAGACGATTTTCTCACCAGAAATCATGCTGAGAATTTCAAGAAATGTTTATATATATACATCTGCTGTTAACCGGATATAGTAAAGTATTCTAAAGGTTTTCCAGCTTCGTACCCTTTCACAGGTAACACCTGCCTCATATTAGTAAAAACTACGGTTAAATTATTAAATAAATCTACCATGGAAAAATGTTATTTGGGCTTTTACCTTTTTAGTTCAAACAAATTTTAAAAAGGAAGGGTACAATTATTACTTTTTACAGATCTGTGAAATACATTGAGAACAACACTCTGAATCTAAAAGCAAAACCTTCGGTAGAAATTGTAAACCCTATATTTTATAATATATCATATCATATTAAAAAATTAATTTAGTATTTGAACTATATTTTATTTTACATTATATAAATAAGCTACTTTTTCAAATTCATAATATTAATTCAACATTTGTCGATATTACAAGAAAGGGTGAAGTTACAGTATCTGTACGAACTTTACTGCAACCAGATGGACATGTCGACAATAAATCTTCAGTGATGACAGAGGCCAATTTATTTGAAAACCAAATGTCAGTTACAAAATGAACTAAAATAGACAAACAAGAATGGCAAAAGCGGGACAAGGAATCAGAGCCTTGCGTGACGGAGATATATTCCTGAATTGAATTTGAAATGATTTGCAAAATTTTGTAACATGAAACTTAAAAACACGCCAGTACCAAAGTACTATAAAAGTTGAATTGACTGAAAGAAGCTGACTAAATAAGGCGCTGATTTATCTTGTAGCCAATACAAAAATCAGTATTTTTATGACTTGTAAACTTCCTTTACATAAAAGACGATCACATTTGGATTACATTTTATATTTCGCTTACAATCAAGATGATTGATTTCTTGATCGACATCATATTTGTAACTTTTGGAAGACGTGTTTTTCAACAAACAATCGACATTCCAATTGAAACCAACTGTGTCCTTCTTGTTGCTGACTTATCCCTTAATACACATGATGCTGACTTCATACAGGAACTTCTTAGGAAGAAAGAATAGAAGTTAGCATTATCTTTTAAGTTAATTTTCCGCTACATAGATAATTTTCTTCCAATAAATAATTCAAAATGTGGTGACTATGTTGAAGGCATCTATCCTATCAAAATTTAGATAAAGGGTACAACTGATACAGTTCAGTCTGTCTCATATCTTGACTTACATCTAGAAATTGACGATAACGGTAGTTTGAAAGCAAAACTTTATTAACAAATAGATGATTTCATCTTTCCAATTGTGAATTTTTATGAAACAATATTCCAGCAGCGTCTTCATACGGAGTCTCCCAGTTGATACGATACTCCATGGCTTGTATTCCCTGTTGTGATTTCCTTGATAGAGGGTTGCTGCTCACAAGGAAACTATTAAACCAAGAGTTCCAAGTGGTGAAATTGAAATCATCCATTCGTAAATTTTTCTGACGTCATTACGCGTTAGTTGACCGTTATGGAATATCAGTTTCACAAATGATAGCATGTGTGTTCCTAATGTCGTACCTACAAACCATTCCCATTTTCCCGAATGTGAACTACCGATTCAGAATTATTGCCGAGTTTGTACTAACATGAGCAACACGACAGGTGCCACATGTAGATTAGGGTCTGTTTAACCTCCCGGAGGTCCTGAGATCACCCCAGTTTTTGGTGGGTTCGTGTTGCTTAGTATTTAGTTTTCTATGTTGTGTTTTGTGTATTATTGTTTGTCTGTATGTCTTTTGTCCTGTTTAAGCCATGGCGTTGTCCGTTTATTTTCGACTTATGAGCTTGATTGTCCCTTTGGTATCTTTCACTTCTCTTTTACAAGAAATTGAAACCTTAAACAGAAATGAATGACACGAATGACAACAAAACGTTACAAATGCAATATATGTATCAGAGATAGTTTATTATAAGATATACGGGTTCAACGAAAAAGTAACTCTTATATATCCTATAATCATAAATGTATACTTACATTTTGATTCAAGCAATAGTCTATTTGCCAATAACCGATTTGCGTATGATGTAATTATACACTTAAAACACACGTTCATCCCACTTTTTAAAATAAAAGTGATCCATACGCGTTTTAACAAATTTTGATTGAAAATAACTTTTGAAGTCATAAAAAGGTAACTAGGAAAAGGGATTGAATATCATAAATAAATATTTCACACAATATACACAAATAAGTTTGCTGTTGATTGGCAATGATAATTTATACATATCCTTAAGTAAACATCGCATACACATGCATCTCAAATTAAAGGCTATATGAAGGAATTAGCAATAGTTCTATTGTTGGTTAAAATATCAAATCAAATACCTCATTGACTATTTCAGAAAATATAGTAACCAAAGAAGAATCGTTTACTCAAGCTCAAACAGCAATCGGAGACAACATTCATGTCTCTGCCACTTTGCGCAAACACGTAGACATCAAATCCAAAGAAAATACATCTCAGAACATCAAAGACTGTATAAAAATAGGCAATATGTTACTGTTTACTGAAGATTCTGAAAACCAACTCATTATTTATAATGCAGATGGTACTTTGGAACGTACTTTTCATCTGGATTATAAACCGTGGTATTTAGCGGAGATCAACAGAAACACTGTGGCAGTATCGTGTCCAAGTGCTAAAACTGTATTGATAATAAACATATATACAGGCTCTGTCAGCGATAAAATTAAATTAGAGAAATACTGCTTTGGAATATCATACAATGATTATCTCTATGTTGTTGTTGAATTTGAATCACTTTATGTGATGGACTTAGCTGGCGAAGTAATACGTACCATAGATTTAGTCCATATCTGCCATATTACAGTGCACAAAAACATGCTGGTTTATATAGACAATACATCAATAAGCTGCTTATCTTTAGACGGAAAGGTTATTTGGAAGTTTGAAAATGACAAATACAAACGTTTACGTCGTGTGACAACAGATGATGAAGGAAATGTATATGTTACTAATGAAGATACTAACGTTGTATTAGTTGTATCTAAAGATGGACAACTGAAAAAAGAAATTCTCACTGAGTCGGATGGAATGGACATGCCAGCTGGAATTCATTTTGATAAAAAAGAAAACATTCTCATGATTTGTAGTGACCGAGATGCTTGGCTTTTTGACGTCATCAAGAACAAGAAATAAACTTGTAAATCTTATTCTTTTTATTTGTCGGATTTATTGCGTTTTAGTACATAAAAATGAATTCATCATAATTGATTAATAGACTTACCGTAGATAATAGGTATCCCATAATTGCTTATTTAGTTATTTTATAAGCAATCACTCATATTAATTTTAATTTATTTTCCAGTACTTTTTTTTATTAAAATATCTTGGTGGTGTAACAAACATCGCTTATTATTTACAATTTATTTCTCTTTACGACCAATTAAAGATGCAAGTCATTGCGATAGGAATTTGTAGTTTATGCAAGGAATCCCCCGCACTTTTTGGTTGACTGTGGGTTTTGGCTTAATCCTGCTTATAGATCCTTTTTCAATTTAATTTATACTTTTATTGACCAACATTGGCTAGTTTTGATTAGGTATCTTATCGAATATCAAGCGAAATAGTTGAATTAAAACGTAAAGAGGAGTAAATTATTTCGACAATGGTTAGCTTTTAATTGAAACAGTATGAATATTTTCGTGTTTGAATTTAACGGAGTTAAGGTTGTCAATATGTGAATATTAGATCTGTTTACTCTGCATATTATCAATCGTTTGATACGACGGGTGCCACATGTGGAGCAGGATCTGCATACCTTTCTGGAGCACCTGTTATCAACTGTTTTTATATGGGGTTCATGTTGCTAAGTCTTTATTTTTCTATGTTGTGTTTTTGTGTACTATTACTATAATTATTGGGTATTCCATTCCCCCCTTTTCTAAGGCGGGCGGTTTATAGTGATCGGGTATTCCATTTCCCCTTTTTCTAAGGCAGGCGGTGTAAAGTGATTGCGTATTCCATTCCCCTTTTCTCTAAGCCGTGCAATATAAAGTGATAAGGTATTCCATTTCCCTTTTTCTAAGACGTGCGGTATATAGGGATTGGTTATTCAATTTCTCCTTTTTCTAATGCGTGCGGTATATAGTGATTAGTTATTCCATCCCGTCTTTCTCTAAGGCGCGCATTGTATAGTGATTAGATATTTCAATCATTTTTGTAAGGCGTGCAGTATATAGTGATTGGATATTCCATTCGCCCTTTTTCTTTGACAGGCGGTATAGAGTGATTCGGTATTCCATTTCTACATTTTCTCTAATGCGAGCAGTATATAGTGATTGTATTTCATCCCCTCATTTTTCTAAGGTGGGTGGTATATAGTGATTGGGAATTCCATTTCCCCTTTTTTCTAAGGCGTGCGGTATATAGTGATTGGGTATTCTATATCCCCTTTTCTCTAAGGTAGGCTGTATATAGTGATTGGGTATTCCGTTTCCCCCTTTCCGCAGGCGGGCGGTTTATATTGATCGGTATTCCATTTCCTCTTTTTCTAAAACAAGCTGTATAAAGTTAATGCGCATTCCATTCCCCGTTTCCCTAAGCCGTGCTATATAAAGTGATTTGGTATTCCATTTCTCCTTTTTTGAGACGGGCGGTATTTAGTAATTGGGTATTCTATTTCACCTTTCTTGAGAAGGGCGGTATGTAGTGATTGGGTATTCCATTTCTCCTTTTTCTAACACCTGTTGTATATAGTTATCGGGTATTCCATTCTCCGTTTTTCTAAGGTGGGCGGTATAAAGTGATTGGGTATTCCATTCCCCCCTTTTCTAAAGCTGGCGGTTTATAGTGATCAGGTATTCCATTTCCCCTTTTTCTAAGGCAGGCTGTATAAAGTTAATGCGTATTCCAGTCCCCCTTTCTCTAAGCCGTGCAATATAAAGTGATCGGGTATTCCATTGCTGTTTTTCTAAGACGGGCGGTATATAGTGATTTGAGTATTCCATTTCTCCCTTTTCTAAGACCTGTTGTATATAGTTATTGTGTATTCCATTTCTCCTTTTTCTAAGACGGGCAGTATATATTGATTGGGTATTTCATCCCTCTTTTTTCTAAGACGCGCAGTATATAGTGATTGGGAATTCAATCTCGTCTTTCTCTTAGGCGTGCGGTATTTAGTGATTGAATATCGCATTACCCCTTTCTCTAAGGCGTGCGATATATAGTGATTGGGTATTCATTCCCCCTTTTTCTGAGGCGTGCAATAATATAGTGATGGGTATTCCATCCCCGCATTTTTATAAGGCGTGCGGTATATATGGATTTGGTATTCCATTTCCCCTTTTTCTAAGGATCGGCGGTATATAGTGATTGGGTAATACATTCCCATTTTTCTAAGGCAGGCTGTTTATAGTGATTGAGTATTCCATTTCCCTTTTTCTAAGGATCGGCCGTATATAGTGATTGGGTATTACATTCCCCCCTTTTCTAAGGCAGGCTGTTTATAGTGATTGGCTATTCTATTGTCCTTTTTCTAAGGCAGGCGGTTTATAGTGATTGGGTATTCCATTCCCTCCTTTTCTTAGGCAGGCTGTTTATAGTGATTGGGTATTCCATTCCCCCTTTTTCTTAGGATCGGCGGTATAAAGTGATTAGGTATTACATTCCCCCTTTTCTTAGGCAGGCTGTTTATAGTGATAGGGTATTCCATTTCCCTTTTTTCTAAGGTAGGCGGTATAAAGTGATTGTGTATTCAATTCCTCCTTTCTCTAAATGGTGCAATACAAAGTGATCGGGTATTCCATTTCTCATTTTCTAAGACATGCGGTATATAGTGATTGTGTATTCCATTTATCCTTTTTCTAAGGCGGGCGGTATATAGTGATTGTGTATTCCATTTCTCCTTTTTCTAAGACGGGCGGTATATAGTGATTGTGTATTCCATTTCTCCTTTTTCTAAGACGGGCGATATATAGTGATTGTGTATTCCATTTCTCCTTTTTTAAAGACCTATTGTATATAGTGATTGGGTATTTTACCCCCCTTTTCTGTAAGGTAGGCGGTATATAGTGATTGGGTATTCCATTTCACCTTTTTCTGAGACGGGCAGTATATTGTGATTGGGTATTCGATCCCTCTTTTTTTCTAAGGCGTCCAGTATATAGTGATTGGGAATTCAATCTCGTCTTTCTCTAAGGCATGCGGTATTTAGTGATTGACTATTTCATTTCCCCTTTTTCTAAGGCTTGCGATGTATATTGATTTGGTAACCCATTCCCCCTTTTTTATACAGTATGTTGGAGTATGTCCGTCTGTCTGTCTGTCTGTCTTTTCGTCCTACTTTTGTATCCTGAACCAATTGACATAATTGACAACACTAACTTAAAGTTTTAAATTTCAAACATGCATCAAAACATACATGCACATACGTGTTGAAGGCCGTACTTTGACCTATAATGGTTTACATTTTACAAATTGTGAATTGGATGGAAAGTTGTCTGATTGGCACTCATACCACATCTTCTTATATCTACATATATTGATTGACGGTCCAAAATTGTATAACAATTTGATGCATGTTATTACATTTGATTAAGTATTTCAAAATAATCAAAATACAATTAGAACCAAAAACTAAGATATATTTGAAATTTACCAATTTTAAATTAATTGCCCGATACATTTCTCATCAGAAAGACTCAAAACAAAATAACAAAAAAATATACTTTTAGAGCAATAAGCAAAAAATAACAATCACACTAAAAGAGTGCGGTTGGGTCAAGGAAAACTCGCTCAGAGGGAGAATACATGTAACTATATATTTTTATCAAAATTTGCACTTTTAAGATACTGGAAATATCTTAAGTACAATACAAAGTATTATTTCTAGCTAGGTCAAAAGAATAGGGCTGATAATAAAATCGCTTTTAGATAAACCCTCACTTATAAATGACAAAATGTTTTGTTAATATATACAGGGTAATGACCAATAACTAATGGACAGTACAAAAGACCACGTTAACCACCAACATCTGACTACTCCGAAAATTAGACAACAAAAGTCAAGAAACATATGAGGGTCTGGAAAAGGGGGGACCTTCATTTCTTTATTCTTGCATTTTTCATTCCATTTTTTCTGTTCTTTTTCTTCTTTTTTTTTCATTAATCTCTATTTTTTTTATATTTGAACACCCCATTATTCTCTATTCTTTATTTTTTGGGGGCCTGTTTTTCTCTATTCTTTATTTTTTTTTTGCCCTTTGCTCTGCATTTTGTAACCGCTATTATCTATTCTGTAAACCACACCAGACCCTTAAAAATGGTCGAAATAGTCCGACTTGGTGCTTGGCAGAACTGGGTGCACGAGGTTGAACCAGTTTTACCTGGGAACAAACCTTCCCCTTAAATTTTCTGTACCATGTGTCTTACAAGAAAAACACCTGATATAAAATATCTGTACATTGCAACAACAAACTAGGGGATCATTTACTTGAAAAAAAGAAATAGAAAAGACAGCCCCAATATGGAAACAAACACAAGTGAAAAGTATACATGTAAATATGCAGTGTACTATCCTCAGATACTACTTTCAAGTATCCTAGTGTGGTGACATCCTGTTTCTCCCACTTAATTACGTGCCTATAAAAACATGGGGTATTTGTTATTTTAGTAATTAAAGTTTGTTTCTAAATTGTTCTTGTGTTGTGATTCACCTGTAAACTTAAAAAAGTGTCCTTATTTCTTTATCTTATAATATTAAAAATGCTTTTTTTTTAGAAAAAAAATAAAAGTTATTAAATACATGTGCATACATTATTTAGTAAAATACATTTTTTGAAATGTTTTAATAATAAAATAAGAATTCTGTTATATTTATTTTCTTGTGGAATAATACATAAAAAAATTTTGCAAAGACTTTTGGCTTAAGTCTTTGTGTCTTTATGTTATAAGAGTACAAATTATTTTTTTAGAAAAAAAAAAAGAAGTTATCAAATACATGTGCTTTAATTATTTAGTAAAATACATTTGTGAAATGTTTTAATAATAAAATAATGATTCTGTTGTATTTATTTTCTTGTGGAATATTACATAAATCAAAATTGCAAAGACTTTCGGCTTAAGGATGTTTCAGTCTCGTTGAAATCTCGTTCGTGGATTATTTCCAAAAACATATTAATACAATACTAATTAATTAGATTACAAGACAGTAAGTGAGTATAAAATTATTTATAATTGATACTGAGAGAATCTTAATTATATAGAGCGACGCCTGTTGTTACCATATGTTGATATAATGGCTACATTGAAAGTCCATGCAGATGGAGTGAGATGTAATTGATTGATTGATTGTTGGTTGCTTCACGTCCAGTGGCAAATATTTCATGCATATTCAGGACGAGAACAAATTAACAATAAATATAA